TTTTTTTTATATCCGAATGTTTTGATTCATTATGAATCCTTAGCTACGGGTCTTTAGTTTATACTAGTTGTACTTGTTTATCCACATTTTGTTTCGCACAAGAATGTTTGGTGTAATTGTATATGTACTTGATTTGGACTCGTAAGCTCGGGAATGCTCGGTGTATTTGTATATATATTTTTGATCAATAGAATTTACATTTACCGATTAGAAAAAAAATTGAGAAGAGTCTTCTCATTCGTTTTAAGTTTTTTTCTTTGAATTTTTCTTCTCTCTTTCTTTAGTATTTAATGACTTTCTCAGTAACGTTATTCCCCTATTTGAATCCCAACGAATTTATAAATGTCTCAATACTCATTCATGATACATGCATTTGTTAAGAATTCAACACTAAATTTGAGTCCTTGACAAAATTTTCATTATTGCGTCTAGTTTTTGAAAATGATTGATTGATACATCGTAAAAAGAGAAATCCAACGAAGGGCCATATAACTTTGGTCAAGTAGTCACGGTTTTGGAATTAGGATTTTATCTAGAACTTAACCAATTCCTTAAAAAAATATTAAAGAGAGGAAGGTTCCATGCATATTCAAATTAGAGGGGAGATTGCACTACAAGTTTTCATCTTACTAAATTTGTAACTTAACCAATACTTAAATAATAATAATAATAAATAAATAAATAAATAAAAATAATTAATATTAAAAAGAGAAAGGTTCCATGCATATTCAATTAGAGGGGATATAGCAGTGCAAGCTTTCAACTTATTAAATTTGTAAGAACTAATCATCAAACTTTAACTGTTAACTTTGAATTCCCTAACTTATGGATAATCTCAAATATTTACAAAAATTATATATATAAATAAAATCTAAGTAGAAGAATCCTTTTATTTAAAAAAAAAGAATCCCTAAACTATTTTTGTATTTCTTTGTTGATTATTTTTTATATATTGTATATTTAAGTCTCACATAATTTAATTAAGTAAACTCGTAAGAATTTTTATTTTTTTTAAATATTAAGCCAAAAATAATCTGTGGGAAAATTTAATTGGCTCTGGATTCCTTCTCATCTTAAATAAGCTTGAAAAGGAAAGGTTGGGATTGCTTTTGTTTTCTAGAAAAATAATCTGATTCCCAAATAAAGATAAGTGAAATCATCCCCAAAGAACCTAATTCCCAAACAGAACCTAATTCCACAAGCAACAATGAAAACGAAACCAAAGAAAATTCGAAATTCTCCAATTCTTTGATTGATTGAAAATCCACAAGAAAAAAGACTTGCAAGACAAAATTTTGAGAATAATTTGCATACGCATGCTTATGCGTCATTGACAGAGACACAAAAGCGATGTTGATACGTATGTGAAATTAGACAAAGATGAATGTTTAACGAATAAAATTTGATTTATTTTTAATTCTAATATTGCTTGAATCTTAGAGGAAAAAGTAGTAATTCTTTAGCATAATAACACGTCAGATGGGGTCATGACAAAAACTGGTCATTAGCTTAATCCATTTAGAAGAGAAACTTCCGTGTTACGGTGGCGTTTCCTGATTAAACAAAAGTTTTAGACTTTTCCACAAGTCAATTTATACACAGGGATACCTAATAATATTTGAGGGGAAATTGCAAATTTGGTCCCCAATGTATCATTTTAGTAACATGTTAGTCCCCGCTTATTAAAAACTAGAAGTTGATACTCAAAGAAATTACAACCTACAAAAGTAATAGCCTGTAACTTTGCAAGATGTGACAACCTAAAAAGATTGCAAGTTAACAACCTGCAAAAATGCAAGTTGTTGGATGACTCGAGGCATCTACGACTACGAGCCTTAGCAGTGCGAGTCGGCTCGACTTGTTTGTCGTAACTAGACAAAATTTGTCTAAATTTTCAATAAATTGGCAATCCATCGTCATATAAACATATCTAACGTAAAACTTTTAAATGTCAATACAAATCAAAAGGCAAAATTTAACTTCATAAAGTTAGACGTAGAGGTAATTGAATAATTAACGACTTGCAAGAGATCTAGATCCTTGAGAACTGATTTTGCAACTATAAGAATAGGAACCAAATTGATCTCTTTCAAATATTGGCAACCAACTTGCTTCAGGACACTAACTTAGACACCAATGGTGCAATTTTCCAAATACTTAATTCATTTCTCCTATCCTCACGTGTAAATAAATTTAGTCATAACTTTCAAAATCCATGCAGTCAATAGGGTCGGCCTCTGATGTCTGCCCACAACAATTTTTTTTATTCTCCCTTTCTATTATATCTATCTATATATATAGACATTGTGCCTGTGTATCTATATATTCTTATCTCATTATTCCATTTTCCCCATAGAATTCTCTTTATCTTCAGCAAATTCTACAGCCCTTTAATTTCTTATACTGTTAGCTTGGTTATAACTTCTGAAAATGGAGTTTGATAGCAGCTTAGAAGGCATGTTCTTGAAGATTGCCTTGTTTATTCTTGTTCAAGCATTAGTTTATGTCATTCTTACTCAATCTTCAAACATATTCTCAAAGACTCCAAGATCATATAGTTTCAAACCGGCTCGATCCATCAGTATTCGTCGATTGGCTGCTGCGTTAGCCGATATACCGGCAGCAAGTGAGTCGCCTTCTTCGGCTCGGGGCTTCCTTAGGTCGTTCAGCCGCAAAGATTCATTCTTCTTTGGTGATAATTCGTCGTCTCCACCTTCCGGAAGCTTCTTAAGGTCGTTGAGCAGGTCGTTTAGCCGGAAAGAGTCCCCCAAGAATGATCATTCGTCTTAGGCTTGTATCGCTTCTTTTCTTTTGTATATTTATCCAAACGGAATGACTCTTTTAGTTACGGTGTGATTCGACTTGAATATATTGCTCTAAATGGAATGATTCTTAGATCGTCCTAAAAATTTTTGCAAGACTCAATATTTGGGTTATAGAACTTCATTTTTTTTTTTTTTTTCTTTTAATGAATAATGGTTGTATAGATTGGTGAAAATTTCAATGTTAATTTGATTGCTATATATGAGTTGTATTATTGTGAAGATTTCAATGTTAGACTGTATGCCGATGCTTGGCTTTACTAAAAATTAATAAATTTTTTATCCTATCAATATCTAGCTTCCGTTTGAGCTACGTTATTATAAAAATGAGAATAATAAAAAATAGTCGTTATGAGCTCCACACAAGAGATAAAAAATCAAATATGATGACTTGATGTGATGAATAATGGTCATATTTTTTATTTTAATGAGAAAATAATGGAGCTCAAACAGGGCCATAATTTAATTTTTACGACACATTCATTACTATTATAGTATTACTTATTATTATTCAGACATTTTATGAGATTCATTGCCTGTAAAATAAAAATCAATAATAATTTTACACCATCGAAGCAATAATATAATTCTATAATTGTGAAGTTGTCATGAGATAATTATGTTTGTGGTGATTCAACTATGTTACAAAAGGGCATAAAAAATAAAAAAATGGACCCACCACTTAGCGTATGATTTTGGTGTATTAATCGCGTGTTGGAATCAGTATTTGGTTATTCCTATTAAATATTGACCACTACCTTTAATAATAAAAAAAAAAAAAAAAAAATTGTATAACCCCATCGTGAGTCCCTACCGTCCCGTCCCAAAAACTTTGTTTCCTTTAAAAAAAAAAAAAAAAAAAAAAAAAAGGTTGAATCCCAACCTTGAGAGTCCCTACCGTCCCGTCCCAAAAACTTTGTGAGGGAAGTAAATCGCGGGATGTATCCCAACAGGTCAAAGAACAAGAACTGAATGTATACTGTGCCTACAAGGAGTTTAATTTCATATCTCAGGAATCGAACCCCCACACTGCGACTGTCAACAAGATGTGAAATAACTTTACTTCTATCTTTTACACCATTGAACTATGCTTCAAGGGCCCACTACCTTTAATAATAAATACCGAAAAGGAGGAAAGCATCATGGATGTTCTAACAATAAGGACAGATTATAGTGGGGGACCTCAGCTTATTACATTTGTATAAATGGCATTTATAGATACTTCATTCTGTTTCAATTTATCGTTAACAAGGCACTTGATTCCTCCACTCACGTGGCAAGTTATTTGTCTGCCAACCAATAAAGAATATCACATAAGTGCTCTCCAAGGCGATAAGGAACATCTCAATGTCTCTTCATCGTAGCCTAAGTCCTATATAACTTGATGCAGGGTCGTCACTTTCCTTCTATGTAGTGATTACTGTATTCTAATTCTTAGCGGCATAACATGGATCATGTTGGAATTGATTCAAAAATAATTGAAAATTGGTTAAGCCCTTGTTTGAGCCACATTATTAGAATGAAAATGTATTTTTGAATATTATATTGATGGAAAATGTGTGGTTAAAAAATAAGGAAAAGTTTTGAATTTGCGTGTAATATTATTTTATTAAAGAATGTGTGGTTGAAATAATATCAAATCACTGTTGAAAATTTATTTTTTTCAAATAATGTGGCTCAAACAAGGCCCAAGTATAAAACTGGAAAAATGAAAATGTGTGATTTCGTGTCAACTTCGACCAAATATTCGAACTTGACTCGATTGTCAAATTATAAAAGTAAATAGACCAACTTATTCTATTTGTTGAGTAAATCGTCATGATATATTTGAAATCTCGAAACCAATTTCGGATGAATGGAAACTTGAGGTCCGAAGTTGAAAGAAATGAAGTATTGCAACTTTTGAAAGGATACAGGTTTTGGTCCACACTATTTCATTTACACCATTTCTACATTTATAAATAAGACCCTATTGACGCGATTTTGAGTACGTCGTTGCATTGAGTATCCATTCTTCTCTTACAGTTCATTTTTCTCTCATTCTCGTAACATTTCTTTGTAGAGGGAAAATTCCGTCGAAATTTCATCATTCTTGTGGCTTGAAATGCTGCTACCACAAGTGTATATCCGTTGTATCTTGGGAGACATTTGTCATTCAACCGTGAGCATCGTAACGGGACAATTTGTCTTAAGGAAAGAGTTATACTCGCATCGAATTTCTTTTTCTACTCCTCATTTCATTTTGGTTTTGTGTGATCGTTTTAGTCATATACTCTATATCCTTACATTGTATTCTAATTACGCTTCTGCGGGTTAAATCTTTTGCTTATAATAATAGCGTTTCAACTACGTTCTTGCGGGTTGAAACTTTGCTCATTTACAACATATACAACCATTATACCGCTAAAATAAATACTCGGAACAGCAGATCTTCATGACCGCAAAGGTATAGGCTGAACCTCAGCCTTTGAACAAATAGCAATTGTAACTTAAAGATCGCGTGAGAAGTGACTGAATTAACATTACATGCGATGACGATGGACATCCTTTCACCCTTCTATGATACTGTGCAGGGCATGGAAGTGACATTTAATGTAACAAAACTTGACTAGTAAACTGCTAACACAAAATAACATAACAAGCATCCAAAGAGCCTTCGTTCATTTTTCCTTTTTATAAATGCTCAAACTTAGTGCTATGGGTAGTCATCACTTTGGAAATTATCTCTATAATATAAACCCAACTCCAAGGTTACTCTCCTTTTAGCATCATTTCCGCATTCAATATATTTTCAAATATCGTTTTGACTTATTCAAGCTTAAGATCGCAGTCCCCTCCATCCTCTTATGTTTGGAAAGGCTTAGATCTTTGCGTCTTATGTGCGCATTCCAAGTATGTAAATGCTTTGAGAGGAGTGGATGCGAAATCTCTTGATGTGCTGGTCTCCAACCAAATTTGGAGGTCAATTGCGAAAAATGTACACTTTAACATGAGTGAATCTCGGGAGTGAAATGCGTATCAAACGCCTACCTACTCTGCAGAGGAGCTTGGTACTTCCCCTTCTAAAAGGTATTGTCCTCAAAGAATGATGAGTGGAAGAGAAGGTGACATCAACCTCAGAAGAGATATACGCCAATAGGCCCAAAATGATAATGCTGGAGAAGAAGTGCCCTATTGCAAATTTCTGGCGTGAAGGCCTATTGGAGTGGCCATTCATATCTCAAGCTTTAGAGATAGGCAAAAAATGCCACCACCAAGAAATAGTCGTCAGAGAAGAACCATTGAAGCAATGGTAAGACAAAGGGCAGCATGGTCCCTAATACTCTCCTTTCACCTTCTTACATGTGGAGGTAGAGGCACGCGAGATGATGGAGTTGAATCTAACAAAAGGGAATTGGGGTAAGACGACATTGAGGACTCTTCATTCACAGTGGAGATCTAGAACGAGTCACTTCTTCCTAACTTTATCATGCCAAAATCTTACCATGTACTAGAAAAAAATCGAGATGAATTAAGAGAGACAACCCATGCTATAAAATTGCAAGGCTTTCCACCTCACCTTAAAAAATAGGGGCGAGGAGATAGTACAACAGGCTCCCTTGGGAGCATTAATAGTTGGCTAGAGCTGAAGAGGCAATTCCTCAATGTCCACATTTGCGAAGGACCAAGGTGTACCACCGTCTAATGCTTCTACAACGTGCAACGAGGAGTTGGGAAGTTGTCAAAAAGATACTTATGTTGTTCTACGGCCGAAATGTCATCAATTTTTTATATAATTCAAAATGATGATAATGACATCAAAGTGTATAGAAAATCCCTTGGATAAACAACTGGGCCATATTGGTGGGGGATTTGTCCCTAGATGGCAATGCCCATGTAGCCATGGCCAAGTATCTTTATCCTTGGATAAAACTAAAACCTCGAGCATTTGGTCCTTGTTTGACTCTCTTTATTTAAATTTTTTTTATTTTCATACTCATTTTCAATAATGTTTTTCATATAATAAAATATTTTACACGTAAATTCAAAATTTTTTCCTGCTTTTAACAATATGATATCCAAAAAATTACTGTTCAAAACATCAATTTTCCCAATTTCTCTTTTAATGGCCATCAAATAGGGGCATACTTACTACATATTACTATATGGGGGAAAAAAAAAAAAAGACTTATCAATTTAACCTTTAACCCTTACGGGTGCGTTTGATTTGTGGTTTTCAAACTATTTTCAATTTTACAGAGTACTGAAATGTATTTGGTATGATATTCTTGAAAATGCATTTTTGAAAATAAGGTTAAACTTATAACATAAAATTGAAAATGCATTTTGACATTTTGAGTATTTTCAATGAAAATTTTAAAAACACTTGAAACATGGAAAGCAAGTAAAATTTTATTCAAATAAAATTTTAAAAACATAAAAATTTAAAAAATATATATAAAATTCTAAAAAATAAAATTTAAAAGATAAAAAAAATATTTTGAAAAAGTAAAATTATAAAAAATAAAAAATTAAGAATAGTTAAAACTTTTCATGATTATTTACATAAAAATTCTAAAAAAAAATTAAATGAACACAGATAAAAATATTCATAGTCCACATCTTTAATTTTTTTATTCCCTATATTGTGAATTCAATTTTTTATTTATCTTATTTTACTTTTGTAGTCAGATAAAAATATCCTAAAATTCACCAATTTTAAGGTGTATTTATGACTTGATAATATATTAACATAAAATTGTTCTATTTTTATTAAATAATCAAATTTCATAGAATAAAATGCTATAAAATAATTTTTTAAAATTTTAAATCAAACGTGTTTTCTAATTTTTTATTTTGAGAAATAAATTTTAAAGATGATATATATTTTCAACAATCTTAAAGCAGACCCTCGAAACGAAAAATTGAAATGAACTTAAAATTGAAATGGAAAAATAAACCAAACTGCTCTAATTTTTTCAGGACCAATATAGAGCTGGCCGGTTAGTCTTTAGACATTGAAAAAAAAAAAAAAAAAAAAAAAAAAAAAAAAAAAAAAAAGAGAGAGAGAGAGAGTTCAAGGTTGTCGCAGCAACAAACAGTTCACTGGGGCCAGAAGTCGAATAGCCACATATTATAGCCTTTCCATAACTGCCTCTCGTACAGTACACTTCAATTTCCACTGGAAAAAGCATGGCCTCTCTTCATTTTTCTGTCCAGTCAATTCCACTGCACCATCGTCCCTGCGCCGGACTTCAAAAGTCCCCCCTCTCAACTTTCGGAAAAAATTCCTCTGTGTCCCATTTCAATTTCAGGTGTTTTTTTTTTTTTTTGGGGTTCTTTTCTATTTATCTGCAATTACATGTCAAATTATTAAATTCTGGATCTGTGTTATTGGGCTGTGTGAATAAGAATCGGAATTATGATAGTGTATGATGTGTACTGGGTTGTTGAGCTTGGGAGTGAATGTTTCTTGAAACGACTTAACTACATTTTTGCTTTGATGGGATCTGGATTCATAATTTAGTTATTTTTTTCTGTATTCAGATCTTCCAAGGTTATTACTTTTGTTTATCTGCAAATTTATTTTGATGATTTATTTAACCTAAGGTTTTCTTCTGTATTTAGAGTTTATTAATACTACCCACTTGCATATAAATGATAATGATATATGTAATAGGGACTTTGTGTCTGTCAATTAAAAGCCGTGGGGATACTTGTCGAAGCATGAAGGGAAAGTTTGAAAAGAAAAAAAAAAAAAGAAGACACCCAACCGGATGCTGGCAACTCAGTTTGTGCACTCCTTCCCTGTTTTTAACCCTGTTAAACCATCATTATTCAATGTCTCTCCATCGACTTTCTTAACTCTCTCTATTGTCCCTCGAAACTATTTAATCAGAAAGAACAAGGATTGATTAGTATCCACCACACATACTGCACTTAATCCGACGGGTTGTCAGGGAAAGTGATATCATTATCATTTATATGCAAGTGGGTAGTATTAATAAACTCTAAATACAGAAGAAAACCTAACACAAGCGCTTGGGGACTTCAGGTTAAATAAATCATTGGTGCATTGATTAGACCGTCTAAAGAATTTAGTATAAAATTATATAGAAAAGTAAAAGAACTTAAAATCTTAATCATTAAACACTGTCTAGTCTTGTCTCGAGTTAATCACCAGCTTTGACGACTGATTCTGTGTGGAGGTCAGTTCATTGTAATTGTAAAAATCTTCACTGTTCTGCATAAGCATTTTTGACAAGCAAAAAAAGACCTGTTATTTCTTATGCTCAGGTTTAAGAATGAAGGTCGACTGCAAGTGAGACCGAGGCTACATCCTCTATTCGCTTCAAATGATAATCCTTCGGAGGGAGCAGATGAAACTAAACGACCCGATTCTGCTCAAGGTCCACCGTTCCTTACCATTTTGGCTGGTTTTTTAGTCTTTGCATTCATATGTTGGATCATCGGATCCATAGTGATGTGGATTATCAGCTTGATTATCTATCCACCTCCTTCAAAGTGAGTTTGAGTTCTTTGTACCTGTTACTCTTAGCCAGCAGATTGTGATCAGTGATAGAGACGAGCTTTTCTGTTATCGTTGTTAATATGATTTTGTTACTCAATCGGTATCAATCGATGCTTTACTTTTGCATCTGTTGGTCCCGGATCCTTTTCTAATGGCTACATTTTTACAGGCGAAGTTGATTTTTTGTCACTATAATTAACAAAAAAAAAAAAAAAAAAACTATAAATAAGCTCTTTGAAGTACACATTCTAGTTAAGAGACATTTTATTTATAAAGAACATTTTATATATTATAGAAAGTATGTTTAAATTTAGAAAGTCAAAAGACTAACCGACTAGAGCACTCTCTTGGAGCTCATTTTTAATCATGGATTCTCTAAAATAAAGAGTATTTTGTATTTAAAGATATACTCCTACACAACAAAAATTTGTACATGAATTGCCAATATGCATATCCTATTGCCGTTTGGTGGCTTTGCTAAGAAATTAGAATATTCATAAATAGAGAAACTATTCAGAATCTTTCCCCTTGCTTCATGGTTGTCTTCTCCCACCATTGCTGTAAAATTACGCCTTTCATCACAAGTGGTAGTAATAACCAGCTTCCATACATCAGTTGTACTACTTAAAGAGTAGCGATGTCAAGGAGCCAAGTCGAACCGGCTCGTGAGCCGAAACTCGAGGCTCGGGCTCGATTCGAGTAATATTAAGTTGGGGTTTTTTTTTTTTGCCCAGGCCAAGTGCACAAGTTGCCTTTAAAAGGCAGCTGTACTGCCTTTCCTTATTTTTTTATTTTTATTTTTTATGAGCCGGCCTGTCGGCCCTTTGCCCGAGCCTCAAGTTGGGCCGACTTGGGCTTTTTACGGATCGAGCCACGAGCGATCCGAGCCAACGAGTCAAATTTCCGAACCTATTAAAGAGTAATTGGACCTGTTGATCTGTAGCCATTGTTGAGGCTATCATCTCGTCTACATCAATCAACTTCGATGATAATTTACAATGCTATGAAATTGAAAAACTTGCAGGTGCAATGCTAATAGCCTGTTATGTAAGTAAGATAAGCCATTGAGGAAGTAAGTTAAAAAGGAAAGTTAAAATTTTGTTTGTTATATAGTCCTATCTCATGTTTTATTATGTGCCAAACATGCCCTCTCTTGAAAGATAATTTGACAGGATGGATAAACTAGTCCTGAAAAGTATAATAAAGGAAAAATTAAAATCTTGCCTATTGTATTGATCGGTCTTATATGACATTTCCCAATAAAAGTTCCTTAAAAGAATCAAAAAATGGCTGAATGAGCCTTGGATTACCTCATTGAGGTTTCTAGCAGATTTGGGAGGAACTTCTGTCAACTCCAGTCCCAGGGCTTCAATCCTGGCGCACAACTTCACTTCTTCAGTTCCTCTTGATTGGTCAATATTCCACCTAAAAGAATTTTTCTTCTTCATTCGGGCTGAACACATTGATGCGTAGACAAAGTTAAAATTGTATATAAATTAAATATTTAGCAGCACCTTAGGATTTCATAGCCTTAGAAGGGCGAGGTTCAAACGAGGAAAGGCTTTTGTATAGAAGAAATGAAATACGATTAAAAATTTAATAGTAAGAATGAAAATGAAATATATCGTACTTTATTCAAATTTGTGCCTGATTACGTTACGTATGCGCTGAAGTTTTAATCCCGTGGAAAAAGCTCAAAAACTTAATTCGTTAAGTTCCATTGAAAATTACATTGAACAACCTAAAATACCTTTAAAAGAAAATAATCATTTCAAAAGCTGCTAAAGCTTTTATTGAATTTTTTTATCAAACAATCCCTTAATTGAACTGTACATCCATCCTTTTGTTAACAAATGCATGAGAAATGAATTTAAGAAGATCAAATATCTTCCAAAAGCACAATGATTTATTGGCAATAAGGAAAATCCAGTTTTAGAAAATGGGCCTATTTAACTCACAGTATTACTGGTGAAACAATTAATTCAAGTTACAAAGATACAATGTCCCTTTTGGTGGATATAAAAATCAAATTTTTAATAGATTTTGATAAAAGTTAATGAAAATGTGATTGGAAAGTTATAAATAATATGAACTTAAAATTAATTATTGACTTTAACTTTAATTTTAATTTATGCTGAAAACGGCCAATAAGAATGGATTTTGATCCCAGAGTGTTATTAGAGGTAAGAGTTATTTTGAACTTCTTCTTCTTTAAACTATCTATCCTGAATTTATCGACCCATATACTTCACGTCACACCCTCAAATTCTCGCAATTTGCACAAATTGATTTGAATCACTCCAAACCCTTACACGAATTGATGTATATTTAGGGTGTGTCTCGTTAAGCTCCCCCCACCCCCCCCACCCCGGGGGGCTTTTGGCCTTTGTTGATTTTGAACTCTCTATTTGGAACAAGAATTTTAGCTGTAGTAATTTGAGCTTTAATAGTTGTGAATTGTGGGACTGAGAAAGCTGGCAATGGACTACGAGCCTTACGATAGCAGTGGTGATTTTTTTTTTTTTTTTTTTACGGGAACCCGAAGTTGCTACTCTTCGGGTGTGCATTAGGTAAACCCTCTAACTGACGTAATAGCCTGCAAATTACGCCAACCAGCTAAATCGCACTAGACAAGCCCGGTGCGACAAGCTCGATCGAGAAAGTGTTGGTAGGGAGAATCAAACTCGTGATCAAAGGCCTTCGTGCTCACCTACTCCACCAACTCGACCACCTCATAAGAGGCTTCTTACTTGTCTTTATAGCTTGGTGTAATGAATTTAAGAAGTGTTTCTCTTTGATAAATTTGCCCACCAAGAAGTTCCTCTTGAAAGCATCTCCAAATTTTTGCATTTATGCCCACCAGTACATATTAGCACTCATATCACTCACCAATTTTAGACATTGAGTTTCAATCGTTTGGAATCAGTCCTCTACATAAAGCAGTTTGATGGACATAACATAATGTAGGGGAATAAATAGCAGAGCTTTTAAAATCATAAGGGGTTGCGGGGGTCGAATATCTCAAAGTATGAAAAAATATGGCTTCAAAAAATCTATTTCCTTTAAGCAATTCAGAAAACTTTCTCCAAGCGGATCATAATGCGTTTCTTGTTTGCAAGTAATGAATGGGGAAAATGATTTTTCATTTTTGACTCCAAAACATAATTTAAACAGTAATATGTGGATGAGATAAAAGTGGCATTCATTCAATCCATATCACTAAGAGTATGTTCAGCTTGGCATTTCTAGGTGTTTATAAACACTTCTATTCAAACAATTTTTTATCCATTCATTTTGTAGGATCTACAGGTACTATTCACTGTTCAACCACTGATTTTACTCTATTTATAAATAACTTTTCAGACATTCCCTAAATGATATTTTTGTTATGCATTTCACATTCTTTCCAGAGAAGAGCACCTCTGAAACTGTCTTTGGTGCTATCTCAATGAGGGCTTATGTATTTTTTGTATACTGCTTTTAGTTTTAAACGGTTAATTCATACATACTGTCTTGAGCTCTTGTTGGTTCTTCGTGATAGACGAGGTTGGCCATTTTTCGCACCGGCAATCAATGGAAAGAGATTGAAAAACCTGAAATCAAGACAGAAATTAGTTGAACAAAATGAACAGGAAAGTTCATTTAGTTAGCTGCCAAATAGGAAACATGGATTTGGTTTTCGAGGGCAAGAGGCTCTGTTGTATAATGCCATCATTCAGTGACATTCTTTTCTTAAAAAAAAAAAAAAAAAAAAGGTTGAACCCGACCTTGAGGTCCCCATCGTTCCGTCCCTAGAGCTTTGTGAGGGAGGTAAATCGCGGGATGTGCCCCATCAAATCAGGGAAGAAGAGCTGCCTGTACACTGCTCTTACAAGGAGTCCAATTCCATGTCTCAGGAATCGAACCCTCACACTACAGCTGTCAGCAAGGCGTGAGATAACCTCACTCTTGTCATTTGTACCACTGGACTATGCCCCGGGGGCGACATTCTTTTCTAAAATTGGATTATCGGTAGGTAGTCTTTTAGTTATTTTATTTAGCACAGGCCAATCTGTACCTGAAGTGGTTTCTTGTTTTTTAGATTAGCAAGTCACTCTTTGTGTAAAATAAAATCATTCCAGCTTCCGTTTAACATGTGGATCATGTAACATTATTTTGTTATAATGCTAGTTTTTCGTGGAAACTTATCCTTGAGATTATTGAAAATATTTTTAAATTTTCTCTAACGTAATGTTCAATACTGTATATCAAATTCTAACCTTTTTGCAATGGACTGTACCTTTGCTTTATTGCAAGCAAAATACTGTTTTTTCTTGTTTTCTTTGTGGGTTTTTGAGAGAGTAGAATAGATGTGTGGTGAAGTTTAGTGAGTTATTATCCTTACGATACTCGAGGAATTGGGCGTTTGCATTTTGGATAATGTTATTTAGCTTCATTGGGATTGTAATCTCAGTTTAGATGACGCTAATGTGACATTAATTGATAGATAAAATTAAATAACTCATTTAATTTCACTTTTTATTTTATCTATCATCTTCTATCATCTAGACTGATGTTGCAACACCAGTGAAACTACATAGCATTACTCTTATATTTTGTTAGTAGTTTTGTCTTATTATTATTTTTTTAAACACTGAAATTGATCTCAATTCCCAACACATCCTGCATACTCCCGTCAAGGATGGATCATAACCCGAAGTTGACAATTTCAGAAGTTTGAATGAATCATTACTTAGGTTTTGTTTAGTCAAATATAAAAGAATAATATATTAGCATTACAATTTAATTATTTTAAGTGCAACTTTCATCTTCCAATAATTATCATTTATATATCAAGATTGACATTTACGAAAAGTTGTCAATCCAAATCTAAATTAGATTTTGTGTTAAAAGAAGAAGATTACATTGGTTTATTCTGTTTTCATACCGAGGTTCACTTTTTGACTGGGTATGCGTGCTACCTAATGGCACCCTATAGGATAATCGTTCCGTCACATCATAAATAACGTCTATATTCATAGAATACAATAATAGTGACAAATTACTTACATTTTAAGCTTCATCATCGAGACATCGACTCATAGTTCTGTAGATCAATGCAATCCAAGTCTCTGGTAGCAATTTTTCATCTCAAAAAATTAATTTTTTAATTATTATTTTATTATTTTAATTGTCATTTTTTATTTTCTTCACTCATATGTGAGATCCACTTTTCTATCTAACATTCAAAAAAATCAATTCTCATAATCACTATCGAACAGATTCTATAGATGCATGTTTGCTATTGATTTTTATTCCCAAAAAATCAATTTTTTGACCTTTATTTCACTATTTCAGCCGTCATTTTTTACTTCTCCTCTCACAGATAGGACCCATTTTTTTCTCTAATGAACAAAAAATCAATTTTCAAAATTACTACCGAACAAGTCTAGATTCGACTCGTGTTAAGTTTTTGTTTAATCTTAAATCGTTAAGTTCTTTTTCTTTTTTTTTGAATAATTACAGTTTTGATTTATATGAGTGGCTAGATAAAATAATATAGTTTGAACTCACAAATATATTGTCCAAATTCAAAGTCATTACAAACTGCGTGTAGAAAATGCAAACTTATATTTTCTTTGGAGTCAGCTCAATGATTTTTTTATTTCTTTTACCCTGAGAGAGAATAAGACATTCTTTGAGACTTTTGAGTATATTCATAATATATTTCAACCTTTTAAATGGTCCAAGTCTACATTGAATTATATTTCTATTCTAATATGACTCCAAATTCATCTTAGCATCTTTTTTATTGAATATACAACACCTGCAATATCCGCAAAATTTTCACTTTAGACTTGTTCAAAAAATAATATATAAAAGTGATTTTTTTTTTCCGAAGTCGAGATATTGTAAATATACAACGGTAAATTTCATACGGTTGGTGAAATTTCAGTTGAGTTATTAAATTTTAATTGGTCTCAATTAGGTCTTTGAACTTCAGTTTAGTTTCAATTGGGTTCGCTAAACCTTTTTAGTGTTAAATTTCACCACGTCACTTGCCGTCTCCTAAATTGATGAAAATTGCTTGAAATTTTTGCGAGTTTAGGGAAAATAGGTGACAGAATCTAACATAGTGTTGAGTATTCAAATTAAACTGCAATTTAACGATCCAATTGAAATTTCACAAAAAAAATCATTGACATTGACAAAATTTACCCAAAAATGCAAATCCTAATATTATGATTTCAGTTGTATTGCGTATTCATAGTTTAAGTATCGTGGAAAGTCACATGTAAAGCAAGCATTAAAAGTTAGGAGTATATACTTGATGCTCGATTCACTTTTATATTCTATATGGGCATGCTCCAATATAGAATTAAATCACGTGCCAAGCAATGTTGGAAAGTTAGGAGTATATACACGAGTGTTTGATCCACTTTATATTCTATACGGACATTCTCCAATACAACTAACTGTATTTTAAGCATCATTAGAAAGTTAAAAGTATATACATGATTGCTCGATCTATTTTATATTATGTATAGACATGCTCGAATACAAACTAGGAATATTATAAGGATTGTGCTTGATGTACATAATTTAAGTATATAGAAATATCCACACCCTTCACGCTCACGTAGGGTGGGACTCGCGTGCGGTGGGCTCCACCCATATGAGGGGGTGTTACACCTCTATCTACATAAATTATAAGTGTCGTGGTAAGTCACATGCCGAGGAGCGTTAGAATTCAATAATGATGACTGTACTTGTGTGGTGTGTAGTCGATGATTGGTGCTCATAAAAGACCACCTTAATTGACCAGACAAAGCATTTAGTATTTATCAATAAAATGTTGTTACCTCTGTCCCAAAATTGGTCAGTTCCTTCCTCCATAATAAACCCTTTCCCCACGCCTCTCCTTTTTCATCAATATTAATTTAGTTCGATTCAAATATTTGAAAAGAATGGCACCAAATTGACAACCCTTTATTTAAAGCATGCCTTGAACCATGGAACAAACATTCAATCCGCAATATTCTTTTGTATATATTGTTGTGCACATTAAATTCTACACATACTCAGAGAAAAATTAATTAAGAGAAAAAGAAACAATCAGAATTTATTGAGCTTTAATTTAACTATAACATAAAATGAAATATATCGGAGCCATGATTTTCTATTGTGATGGTAAAAATTTTAATTGAAATTTTGATAGGAAGAATAACTTTGCATAGACTGGTAAAAAATGAAAAGAAATGAGAAACAAAGATATTGGAGAAATAAAAACATATTATTTCAGTGCTTATGTATAACTTGTCCAACTATGGACAAAATCTGAATATTTCTTATTAAAAACTGTAAATTTTCTTCAATTTATGAGGATGCAGACTGATTGGAATGGGATGGAGAGCAAGAGAATGGATAAAAACCTGGTCTAAGTAAAGGAAATGGGATAACTTTATGTGTGGATTCAATGGTGCTGGTTTTGGCAATGGGGGAATTGACGGCCGGGGCGGTGGTTATGGTGGTCGGAGCGGCGGAGGAGGTGGTGGCTTCACGTTCACAAGAGGGGCACATGGTGAGGGTGGTGGCTGAGAGTTGCATGCAGAATGGATTTGTAGAATTAAGAGCTCTCAATTCTAGTATCTCCTTGTGTAGCCGCCTGTTTTCTTCCCTTAAACTGCCACAAAATCTCTTCAAATATTTGTAATCCACCTCTGTTTGCTTCAATTTGGTCCTGCATTAAAATCTCATATCGTTTAAATATGAAAATAATAATTAATAAAGTTAACATTTTAAGATGAAACCCGGACTCGATGAAATATTTATGCATACCTTGCTCTTCGATTCTGAAACCAGACTTCAACTTGTCGAGGCCTAAGATTAAGCTGCTCTGCAAGCGCATGCTTTTGTTTCTGCTCCTTCCATCAAAGAACCAAAAGGGAAGAATACGAAAATTAGAACATAAATTTTTCAAAAAAAAAAAATTTACAGACAAGAAAAGTAGCTAAAAAGTCACTTTTAGGCATGTCAAACATCTTCACGACAATTTAATATAAAAAAGTATTATGAAAATTTGATTATTTTTTGCCTCTCCCTTAATAAACATATACTCACAAGATTGAGAGTGCCGTGTTCTTTAAAGTTTTCTTCAAGATAAGCGGACTGTTCTTTAGATAGTCTGAGTTTCTTTCTACAGTTGTGGTTGTTTTCATCTTCATCACTGGCTCTGGAAGATGTTCGTTCAGCCTCCAAGATGTCATTTGCGGACAACACCTCCTCCTCCGCTGCTCCACCAGCCACGATCGCCGGCCGGTTCGCATTCAAGCCTCTCACCGGCTGCAGTAAACTCATGTGCGTCGACGAACCAATCTCTGAACTCTCAGCAACTGCAAAACAAATTAGGAAAAAAAACTATCAATATTGTAACAAATTATCCCATGTATTTAAGGTTGTATCAAAACGAAAGAATAGGAATTACCTCGAAGAAGAGATCCAGTGTGACGAGGAACAGGAGCAGGAGGGAGAAGATCAAGCTGAACAGAAGTTTTCATCAACTTTTCTTGATGATCATCAATTCCATCACTTTCCTGTAACTTCTGGTCATCATCTCGATCGTAATTTTCATGGGACTCTTGATTTCCAACAGTTGAGATTAGACCTAAGGCCATGCAAAAAACCTGGCCGTCCTTCTGGTTTATTGCTGTACTCTGATTCTCTGAATTACTATTTTCTGTCAAGAATTCAAATGTTTTTGAATCTTTCGATGCACCTCCTAAGCTTAAGCCCAGATCCATATCTCGAATGGGAGATAGAAACTTGGATTGCAAACACTCCAAAAAGAATTTATAGAGATTGCGATTTGATACTTTGTTTGATCATGTTTAAAAGACGCTTTTTAGCTACTTGTGTTTTTCAATAAGATCTCATATGACTAAGTCAGGCAATCTAAATGACTTTTAATCACGACCAAACATCCGCCTCAGATTGTTAACAGCAAATAAAATAAACGCAGACAGAAAGAGAGTAAATAACTCCCTTTTTTCTTCTCCATTTGTTTTCTCTTATTTTATTTGATTCCAGTTTCCTAATTATTTTCAGTATTTTTAGGTTGATATCAATAAGAAATTTACATTATGATTAGCATTGACCAAAAAAGTCATATTGACAAAAGAGTACACGTGAAAGACCTATTTTGAGGACCCGAATTCAAGATTTTGGGACACACATTGTAGGTTCAAATGTTTCTTTTTCCACAAGGCAGGCGCGTGTTCAGGCTATCGACTTATGACTATTTGGCATTTGCCAAGACTTTATCAACACAACTTTTTCTTTAATAATTAAAATTTGACCAACATAGTTCGATTAGATCATCCACATCAATACGAAGCATATATATTTTTTTTTCTAATACATGAAGACACCCTTGTTCATGAGTTTGTTGTCGACCTTCGAATCATTCCAAAACAACAATATTATGGTGACATAATTTTTTTGACATAATAAACAATCGACACTCACATTAATGGGGACACTTCTTTTTTGAACTTTTTTTATTCACATGGAGCTCACGCTCTATGAGAGGATGTCAACCATTATGTCAAAAAAGTTCACGCAAAGTAGTTTAAGGGTCCGTTTGATTGCAAAGATGAAATTTGGGTAAAAAGAAAACGAATTCTAAGGAATTGAATTGTCTAGAAATTATTTTCCTTAAAATTATAAATTATCGTGTTTGATTGGTATAATTTTCTACGTGAAATATGTTGAAATAAAAGTATTTTTTGGTGTTCGTTTGATTTTGTTTTACATGAAAATTGTTAATTAAAGTCATAGATTTTACTGATATTGGAGATAAAATTTGTTTCCATTTCCAACAACCAAAAAAAAAAATTCAAGAAAATCATATATCTTTTGATATTCGTTTGGCTTTGTTTTACATAGAAATTGTCAATTAAAGAAAAATATTTTTTTACAATAATTCTTAGAATTTGTTACCATTGCCAAAAAAAAAAAGGACAAAAAAGATTTTTAAAAAAATACAAAAAATAAATAATAAATAATAAAAATAAAATAATGCCTAGAATTTCAATTCTTACCATACCCATAAGAATTGGAATTCCATGAAAGCAAGGAAAAGTGGCACGTGGGGTGGAAACATGGAATACCAATTCCATGGTACATATATGCCATCTAACAAGGATAAAGTTTGAAAGTGGAATTCAAATTCCATAATTGATTCCAAAATGTTCAATGTCAAGATTATAATTCTAACTCTTCTAGGTGATATCTCATAGATGGCTTGGGCTCCCTCGGAAGAAGGCCGTCTTCATCTTTCGCCTATGCAGTATAGACTAAGCCCAAATCTAATCCCAGGGAATAGTAAAACTTCGTAGTATCCTCATGTCCGGCTACAGATAGTTTGCATCTTTACATGCATGTCCATTTGAGTTCAGAATTGAAATATAACATGACTTTGGGAGTGAAAACTGTAAAAACGAATTGAATTGGAAGACTAATAGTCTAATACTGATTCAACGAGTTTGGACAAACATCACCTTAGTGTTTTTAGCAAGTATTGAATTTGAGCTAACTTTTTACTGTCAGACAAACATTTATTTTAGGGGTTTAGAAAATTTAAAAAAAAAAAAAAAAATTGATTATGTAAGAACATTGCTGATTTTGAGAAGCAAACAAAATTCCAGTTTTTATTTTTATTTATTATTATTATTATTTTTTTCCCTCCCTCAGTCATTAAACGTTAAAATGCCTTTAACCCTGTTAAAGGAATTTTTGAATAGAGGCCTTCACTGGGTACAAGATGTGATGATTAATGAAAAGTTGAAGCTAAGAATGCAAAAATTAAAATCAAATTAAAGAAATAAAAACCAATGAAAAGGAGAATTATCAATAAGCTCTGCTAAAATCAATGGTGTTTTTATTGAAGAACTCTTTGTTAAGGAAACAACCCGTCACTCAACTACTAATGCTACAAATAAATTACGATATCCAAACTTTTTATGGAATAAAAAGTATTCAATTTCACAAAAAAACAAGATCTCCGCCCGGCCACTGCTATATTGAAAAGATTCCTAAAAGTCTCTTAAATAGAATCCAGGGAATCACTTTTCTTACATTTGAACGATCTTCCACTTCTTAGCTCAAATCTCATATGAAGAGTTGGTTAGGCAGACATTTATGACTTAGGCCAATGAGAAAAAATGAAGGAAGAACATCAGTAGTAAGAAAACTCTGAATCTCAAGTTTCAAGACGTGGCTTTGGCTTTTGTTTTCTGTTTTTTGGCATCCAATGCAGCCAAGCCGGAGCCCAATCCAACCGGAGTCCGATCCTGTTCAACGGGTTTGGATTGGTCCTCTTCGGGAACTTGTGGTTCATTTGAAGCATGTCCATTTGATTCCTTTTTCTCTCCATTAGTAACCTCGTTGTTCACACCATCCGGTGTCATTCCGGAGTTTATGATATTAAGAAGCTGGGTAAGGGGTGGTAGAGCTTGGACGGGAACACCATGTGGTCGGATCAAAAGACCCCTTGCAGCTGCTTTCTTTCGAACCTCTGCAGCAGCTCGAGCAGCTCTTTCATCTACACCCCGTCCTCGGGGAAGTGTTTCACTACCAATACCAGTGTGAACCGGTTTGTTTGAAGCAGCACCAGAAGCACCGGATCCTCCAGCCGCAGCAGCCGCTTGAAAAGCATGTATTAGATCAGGATGAGCCTGCATCCATAGAGAGAACTTGAATTCATCCCACAAGCAACTTCCACAAAAATTCAACAGTACCCCCATCATATACCAACCAAAAATCAGTGTTTCATGGGAGGCTGAACCTGAACATCCTACGGAGTTACCAGGTTTAATTTCATTTGAATCCACTCGTATCCTCTTTTTGTTAAGTAGACAACTAATTATGCTAATTACTTCTTGGGGTCATTTCTTCGGGGCCCAAAAAAAAAAAAAAAAAAAGAGAGAGAAGAAGAAGAAGAAGAAACACGGTAGAGTTCTAGTTCTAAAAATAATTTCCCAACCAAGACATTTAACAACTCCTCTTACTTTCCCTTCTCCGGAAAATGCATTTTGGATTACGTTTTATTTTAACCAGGGAATATCGAACTTTAGAATTGTTCTATTCTTCGAATAGACAGTCATTTAAATGAAAACCAAAAGCATCCTTATCATAAGCTAATGCCTTCCATCTCTAGCGGTCTTTTCCATTTGTTTTGTTTCTTTATTTTGGAATGTAATGAATCAATGAAAAGGGGGGTGGACTTGGGGGTGAGGGAAAAAAAAACAGTATTCAAGTCTCACCTTAAAAATATCGATAGCCTTTTGAGCAGAAGCAGCATTCAAAGCTTGACCTTTCTGCTTATGCGCATTCATCTACCAAAACAAGAATGCGATAAATAAAGAAAAAGAAATGCGGATAAACCAAGAACCATGATTTTATCAAGAAATCCTGAACAGAAAGCAAAACCTGCATCTCGCGCGTCTTAAATGTTTTCATCCAGTTTTGAGAATCCTGCGTCCTAGAGTCATCTTCTCCAAGTTGTTTAACGAGAATATCATATGTTTTCTTCTCATGCTGATATATAACACAATAAAAGGCTAGTTTTATCTCAAATTCATTAATGAATTAAGTAGAAGAGACATTTAGATAAGGACATGCCTGGTGCGAGAGCTTGAAGGCGCCCATACAGTTGAATGCAATTGCCAAAGCATGATAGCACACAGCAGTTTGAATGTGTTCCTCTCCCAGCAGTCTTTCATTCTTTTTCAAGGCTTCTTGCAAATAACGAAGGGCTGTATCCATCTTTCCAATATCTTGATACATCATTGCAACATTTATAAAAGTTGCAGCAACATCTGGGTGATCTGGACCGGATGACAAACTTAACAGAAGTAATGCCCGTGACATGTGCCGCAGGGCAAGTTCTGTTTGATTAAGACCATGGTAGAACAAAGCCATATTTCCATAACTGCAGTCAAGTTACCGAGTCTAAGTAATAAAGAAAACAATAATGACAGATAAGACAGATACGAAATCCAGTCACTGCAAAACTTCTCCCGTAGAACTAGAATCCACACATAGTTCTGTACCATGTAGCATAACTTTTTAAGCTTAGCCAAACAAACTCTTAATCTTGAAACCCAATGAATTATAAGATGCCGACTGACAAGCTAGAAAATGGATGTGGAACAATGTAAATAATGATTAATGCAGAGACGAAAATTCTGTGCCTGTGCGCAGTGTCAGGGTGGTCCAATCCTAAGCAGCGCTCATTTATGATAAGTTCCTTGTGTTGTTGCATTATGGCTCCAGCCATATCTCCGGCATGATATAGAACCATGGCTAGGTAGCTGAAAATGAAAAGGTAGAAATACACTGGTTAGTACAAGCATTAATTGACCAAACAACTAGATCAATAAGGCAAGACATTAATGCCTGGAATTTTTGAAAATCCACAAGTCACTGCAAACTACAAGAATCAAGTCATAAATGTTGAACTACCTGATGTAAAAGCTTAAGTTGTCAGAGATGGTACACATTTTATTTATTCAAATCTTGTACTCTACCTGTCTTCTCAACTCTCAAGTACAGGCCAGATTCATTTTTTTCATCCAAGGCCTAACACACAAACGTTTTCATATCTGGACAATGGTGAGGCTTGAACAAAAGAGTTGAGACTTTTATACCATGTTGAACTACTGCATCTAAAAGCCTAATCCGTTAGTGGAGACGTATGTTTATTTAATTTTTTGGGGGGGGGGGGGGGGGGGGATAAAAAATAAAATAAAAAAGCAAAAATTTTGCATATCCATTGATGAAGATAAATTCAAGAAATGTACCATCATAAAAATGCCATACCAAATCTCAGAGGCAAACTATGTTTTGAAAATCAACCCAGAAAAGAGAGAGCTTCAAAGGTTCGAGGGTTGAACCGAGGTCGAACCGGAAATAGTATAATTAAATAAAAAATCCATATATTAATACATATCCTATTAGAATTTTATATAAAGTAAAAGAGTATTTTTATTATTTATTATTTAACTTCCAATAATTATTTTAATACCCATTTCTCATGAAATTGACGCTAAATAGGCCAACATACAACTAAACATAAAATAAATATTAAATGGGTCAAAATAAAATATAATGAACCCCACTACTAAACAACTCCTAACCTATCCTTACCATGAGATTGAGAGAAAGAAAGAGGATGGCGGCTCTCTACAGGTTCTTTGTTAATCAATTTTTCATTTTTCTTTTTGGGTACCATATGCTAAATCTGTGAATTCTAAGATAAATGGGAGAAGATGGATGAAACCAACCAGAAAATCTTTCTTCTTAACTTGAAAAAGGTGGGTACTATGTGTTGAATCAGATTCTTGAATAATTATTTCTTCAACTTCCAGTTTTTTTCTCACAACCCCAACTCGACAACTTGGTAACCACATCTGGTTAGCCAGTTGTCAGTTGAACCGCCTGGATTTACGATTTTGAGCCGGATTCTATACTCGCGAGTTTCATGCATTAACCAGACCGGTTATCACTCCAGTTTGCATTCTAGTCGAACCGGCTGGTCCGGTCAAATTTTGATAACATTGGAGGCACATCAAATAAATGAAAGCTGGAACATTATCAGGAAATAATTAACCAAGTGATGAAAATGAAAAATTACCGGCAACAGTTAGCAACCTCTCGATGCATTGGACCAGTGACCTGAATATTGTCACAACTTATTTATTAATCCCAAGTAACAAAAACAATCAAGAAACCATAGAAAATGATAATTGTACCTGCTGGAGGATTGTAAATGCTTCAGAGAACAGTGTGTAGGCTTCACTAAGCATTCCCTGAAAAAAAAAAAAAAAAAAGGGAAGGCAACAATGAATACAATTTCAAGGATGTCTAGTTGAATCCAAGCTATTACCCACAATTAGTAGGGAACTCGTTCTTTCTAGAAGTTTTCCAACTCTAAGCAACTCCAATTAAACAGATTGGGTCAGTTAAAGATTGTCCTGAAAAATTAGACATGCACTTGATCATAACAAATTGCACATCATCTATCTCCTTATTTTGGATCATTGGAGGTAAAAGGTGAATAATTTTTACCCTGAAATAAATTCCATTACCTCAAATAATAATGAAACTGATTACAATAGCTCTGCCATGGACACATTATTATTAAAATTCTCAATTACAGAATTTAACGCTGATACATAAATTTTAAAAAGCACTTTAACAAGAATTTCATCCTCCATGAATCAAAACTCTCCATACCTCAGCTAGTTGCACCTTTCCAGTTTCTATGAGATCCTCAGCTTCGGAACAAACTGGAATTGAATGCTTTATTACTGGTTGAAGATCCAAAATATCTGAAACCTGGAAAGGCACTGCAGCATCAAGAGCATACATGCGAGCAGCGATGGTGATTCCAACCTGTTAAGGGAGACAGATATACATTCAAACAATTCCAAGAAGAAGAAGAAGAAAAATACAAAAAGCTTCAGCCAGAATCAGCAAATAATCATCATTTCAAGAAAAAAAAGACTAGTCACTTCTTGTGAAAGAAAACAAACTGAGTAGAAAATAATCGTCATTTTACAGGCAAAAACCATTAATAATTTGACGTGCATAAATCTTCAAACCATGAATTTTAGAAATCACAGAATTTTAAATTGAAACTAATATGGATTTTTATGTATTAAATTATGACTGGCATAACAGACCATCATACCCATAATGGCCAGAAATAGAAATCCACCTATCCGTCTGCATGCTTTTTCTTCCAATCATTTTTTGGGGGAGCCCCGGGGGTGGGTGGGGGGCAACCCAAAACACCAAAAAAAGAGAAGTATTGACTTGCCTATTCACATGTTGGTTAGAATTAGCTATCCTCATCTCTTCCCCAAGTGATGGATTCATTTTACTAGTACTCTTTCCTTCTTTGAAATACCTCTTTCTCTTGTCTCCTTTCTGTCAATTGTCTCCTCTTATTCCAGATTCATTGCTTTGAAAGAAGTTAGTATATGCCACTTTTAGAATATACCTCCTTTAACATCCTTTGTTAGGACATATGTTATTGTCAAACAAACATGAATGCATTTGCCAACCTCTTCTGACATTTGAATTAGCGGTACTCAACCAAATAGTAAATTATTGAAACAATATATACGGTAATTAAAAGAATGATTCTTCATATACACAAAGAATTCTACCATAGCCTAAACATTGTTACTTCACATCATTAACAGAAGGAAGACATGAAGTTAAAAGTATATATGGTGATGCTGTAAAACTAGGATTTTACTTTTTCCCAAGAAATGGCAGAGCAGAAATGCAAATTTAGAGAGATCCTTGTTGCAAGTATGTCTACGTAAGCACTCGAGCATATTAGAAAGACCTCACAGAAGGTTACCTTTTGGGAAAGGTTCCTAATAACTGAAATCTTCTTCACCAGCATTCTTGCATCTTCTGGCAAGTTAAACTGCAGAAGTTTTCAATAGAAAGTAATAAACAACCTCGTCAAATTGTACACAAGTTCTTCAAGTACATGATACCTGGTATTTGGTTTGTGCAAGCTCCTGGACTAAAGACCATAAACTATCTGATGTAATACTCAAGTATGATGATTGCTTCTTTCTTGTGGATTCTCCATTTTTATACTTGGCTTGTTCCTTGGAAGACTTCCCTGGAGCCTGCAACATCTGCAAACATTAGGTCTCAGGATTTCCTGGACTAGAACTATCAGCATTTTGAGAATGTGAAGAAATGCACACGCATAGCTAACTAGTATAGGATAAAATTCAAAAGACTCGATCTAGCTTTTCCATCTTCCATATAGACATTAATGTAATTTTGAATAAATGGAAATACTACTCTCACACTTTAACGTACGTAAAGAATAAGTAATTTCTCTCATAGCACGAGACATGCAAATAAATTTAGAGCAAGAACAGAACTTGGACATAAGATATTAAAACCGAAATTTAGGGCAGTAGATCAATAATCCCGTACCTTCTTTGAATTTTTGGAATGTGTATTGTTTGCAACAACTTTAACAGAAACAGTCTGGATATCTCCAAACAAGCAATTGAAAAAATGTGAAATTGCATTCCCAAGATCATGATCCTCTGTATCCCTTAAGATGTCCTGCATGAGAAAAAGGTTAATGGTGGACAAATAATCTTCTAAACACCCAAAAGGAACTATATGCTACCAATTGTACAATATTAGTTTCAGTGAAGTGGAAAAGCAAGGCTTCGAGGAAAATATTTATCCATTCTGAGTTCTAGAAAGACTTGTTGAAAACCTCAGCAAACTAAGCTAACTTACACAAACCACATACCCACCCCCGAAAGAGAATATATAAGCAATAAGTAGGGCGAAAAAAAATGTCCCAGCATACATGATGCCTTGAATTGCTGCAAAATTGAGAAGCATCAATAGCTATGTATACTATAAGAAAACCTTGGAAAGAGTGGATGAAGGAAATTGGCTTGTTTGGTTGGGAAGGGAAAGTGGTCTTTATAATTTTGTTTTGTTATCAAGTAGAAGATTTTTTAAACCTGGAATTGATTAAGAAAATACTCAAAAATACATTTCCTTCCTATTTCCCCTCCACCATTCCAAAAAACAACCGGAGGAGAATAGTTCTCTCTACCAGGGATGGAGTGCATACATTGGACTTTCCTTTCCCCCAGCACTCCAACCAATTCCCTTCCCCCACAAATTCCTCTAGGACCAAACACTGCAAATTGGGTTGAATTCAATGACTTTGATTTCACCAAAATTGTCTCCCATCTCAGTCTCCCTTTCCTTTATTGACATATTCTTACAACAAGATCACTTGATTTCATCAAGAATTGTCTCAACCTCGATCTCCTTACCTATGTATTCTCTCAACGTGATCATAGAAACTATGCAGAAAAAACACCACAAGAACATAATATTGGCAACTTCGTTATACAATAAAAAGGGTAGAACAACGAAAATAAGTCAATCGCCTAAAGCAGCAACTAGTAAATTCTCCATTCAAGACAGAACCAAAACAATGCCCATACAGAAATGGACAATGCAATTAAAACTGATAATCCCAAAGATTGACAGGCAAGCACAGTCTACCAGCACTAAGCACTTAAACAGTACTAGATTTTGAAAATAAGGTTCAAAGGCTGGAATCAATATGCAAGGCCGACCAAAAACTCACATCTCATCTCTGAAAAAGTAACTTCATACAAAGCCACTACGTTTGGAAAGATAAAATTAGGCAAGGTAGAATCAGTCACAAAATTCCAGACAAAGAAGCTAGGTAGTTTGTACAACCATGATTCAAAGTTCATCACTGTCAGCCAGTGTTTGAAAATAAAAAATGGTATTACCAAATACTGAAAGTGTTTATTGAATCACCTTAAGAATATGCTTTGCAGATCTGACAACAATCTCATTGCAACAAAGATCCCACAAGTGAGGTAAATGTTTGGTCCCTTCAGCAACCTATAGAACAAATAAAAAAAAAGGAAAAAAAAATCAGCCTGTTGATGGAGCAAACAGAGAAACATAATATTAGGCTTGGAATCTCATGAGATAAATCTAGATTTCCTACAGAAAATGTTTGAATTTACAAGAAAATGGCGTCAGATGATGACAGTCCAGAAAATGTTTGGATTTACAAGGATGACAGACCAGGACCAATCAGGAGCTCATTCTTACTTTTCCAATATATCGGACATTAACCCCATGAGCATGGAGTGCCTCGGTTAAAGTTTGTCCATCCATAGGTGAAACTTCGAGCTTGCAAAGATCTTGTATCAACTTCGGTAGCACAACATCTTTAAGATGCAAACTTGCTCTCGTCACGTTTTCCTCATCTGCTGCTACCTCCTGAAGAACAATGAAGGGAAGAAAGTTAACATCATGGAATTCTAGCCAAATACTGGGTCAATGGATGAGGCAGCACGGGAAGGACACATAAGCTACCTCTTGACTCCCAGCAAGCTTAAATTCAGTAAAGACATTAGGATTGAACTGCATCTCTTCAGTTGAATCTTTAATACTAGACTGAGAACCACATTCTTGTGATGTCCGCTTTTCACCTTCTGCATTATCCTGCAAAACTC